CTTAAACCGAAAGTAGTCCTAAGTATTTGGGTCTTAACGGTTTGCTTTTGAGTATGCTAAAATTATTAGGTAATATTTCAAGGAAATATGTAATGGAGACAAAAAAGTTTTACAAAGAGTCAAGTTGTTTTTAGAAGGAGGAAAGAATAGACGTCCTTTGATTCTCTTACTAAATTCTTTCGTCCTTCTTGTACATGAATACCTAAAGAGAAATAAGAAGGGAGATTGTTTTAGAAGCAGGAAGAAGAAGGCAACCTCCAAATCCTCTTCCTTCATTTCTTCGTCCTTCTATGAAATTACATTTTTTTTTTTTGGAAAAAGAAAGAACGCATAGAGATACATATGCGTATGTAGATATGAAGTGATTATTTATAAGTCTAGGAGTTTATAAATATATATATATAGGCGAAAATAAAAGGCGCATATGTGTACTTATGTACGCGTGAGTGAAGGTATATCGCGCATTGTTATTTGCGTTTTCCCTATTAGTTAGAATAATAATAAGTATACTTATCGCGTAAACGGGTGCGGGTGTTGATTTGTATCGGTGGTTAACTGTGCTAGTCCCAGCCGTACTAATTCTTCTCTCAGGATGACGGATCCCAACTGGTTTTTATAGTGAATCCGTAGGTCAATTTCTACGGCTCGAACTGCGGTAGTCCTTTTAATTTTCATCAATCCCTTTTCGTCTTCAATTAAAGCTCTTGTTAGAGATCGAGCTTTAGCTTCCCATGTGGAGCCGGGTTCTGTGGGTTCAACTCCGTACAACCCACAGGTTATAGCGTACCACGAATCTTCGCAGAGGTGTTTAGGCAGCCTGTATACTTCCCACATTGCCTTCTTCGTGTTTCGGCCCCAATCACCCAAATATACTGTCACGGAGTTCCCACGAATTGCCGTGACCTCTCCTCTGTACCAATTTCCTTCGTTTTTTACTGCTACTGCCTGTTTTAAGTGGAAGGCGTGGGGAAACAAGGTATACCGTTTTTTCCTTCTCTCCATCAGGCAGTTCAGATCTTCCTGTAGTTCCGTTAGTTAGTCTCGGGTTGTGGGAATTATATGTGAGATTCGAAGTCTATTAGGGTGTACAACGCGACTATTCTTTTTCAGTCTAATTTTAACGTTGTTTCTATTTAATATTTCTATGACTTCGTGAGGTCCAGTATATTGATCACCAAATTTCCCAGGTTTCGGTCCTTTTAATAAAAATACATAATCCCCTGGTTTAAATGTTTGAGGATTGGTCTTTTTGTCGTAATGCATCTTAGATTTATTCTTGGCGTTTACGAGATTACGGTTGGCCTGAGTTTGCATTTTGTGTAGTCGAGTGAATAGCTGTATTAGGTAGTCGTCGTATGTTTTTATTTTATCGTCTTCGAGTAAAGGTTCGGTCGAGGGTATGCGAGCAGGTCTACCAAAAACTAATTCATACGGCGTGTGTTTGGTTCCTTCGTGTACACTGGTATTATAATTTTGCATAGCCAAGTCTATCCATTCGTCCCATTCCTTTTCGCTATTAACATATTGCTTTAGATATTCTCCTAGTGCGTGATGAGATCTTTCTAAGGACCCATTTGATTGAGGATGAAATGCAGTGGTCCTAAATTTCCGTATTTTGTAATATCTTGCTAATTTTTTCATCAGGTCGCTAATGAAATTTCGTCCTTGATCGGTGAGTACAGCTCTAGGTGGTCCAAAGATGGCAATAAATCTTTTTACAAATTTGTCGGCTATTGTTGCAGCAGTTTGGTCCGGTAACGGTACAGCTAGGCTGAATTTGCTAAGTTGGTCCTGCATAGTAAGAATGTATTCATTCCCTACCTTAGTTCGTGGTAGTGGTCCAACTATATCCATGGCGATTTTATCGAACGTCCATCCTGGAGTGTCGGTTATTATCATTGGTTGCTTGGTTTTTACTCGAACTAATTTCTTCAGTTGACATTGTAGACACTGTCGAATATATTGCCGAACATCTTCCTTCAGATGTTCCCAGTAGTAGTTTTGACGTATCCTATTGTAAGTTTTGGTAACTCCTCTATGTCCTCCTACAGGTGTACTGTGCATTTCTTGAAGGATTGCGAATCGTATATCCCTAGGTGGGTACTTGATTAGTCCATTGCAGAAGATTATCCGCACATCTGAGCCAAAAAATCCTGTCTGAAATTTAGTTTTAATATCGTTCCAAGGAACGTTTAGTATGTGTTCGCTTTTAGCGACACTTATGCTTGAGAGTTTCAGATTCTCTGCTATTTTTCGCAAATTGGTGATTCCTTGGTATATATTATTCAAAATCCTGGTAGGTCCTTCTTGCTGATCTTCGCTAATGGGTAATATAATATGATATCTTTGGTATCTTTTAATCAGTTTTGCAATTCCCAGGGACAATCCTGTTAACTTAGGTATTTCCTGTCGTTCAAATAATTTAAGGGCACCAGAGTCTAAAGGATTTCCCAAAATGTCGGTAAAATATAACAGGTTATCCTTGCGTAAAAAGTGCAGATCCCTGGATTCAACAAGGTTGTTTGCTCTAGTTTGAATATCAATTATGCGTGGTTTTCTTGTGATTATAGTGGGCAATTCGTCTTCACTTTCCTCGTCGGTATCCATGGGTAGCGGTCTCGGTGGTATGTTGTGTCTCTTTAAGTTTATGTCTTTGTCAGGCGTGATTGTCTGCATTTTTTGTTTAGCTCTACTGCGGGTCAACATAGGCCGTTGAGTCTCGATTTTGTCTACCTGCTTTTTGTCCTCTGGGTCGGTGGTTTCAGGCACGTGGGCAAGCGCTTCTATTGTTTCACCTGTCGAAGAATCTGCTAATTCTTCCGGATTAAATGATGTAATTTCTGAGGGAGGAATTTCGGACAGTGGGTGATCATCATGTACGTATGTATGAGGAATGTCTTCGTCTTCTGATTCTTCAGTATCTTCTTTCTCGAGTAATTGTCGTATAATCTCTACATCTTTTGGATCGGTTGGATTCAATTTAATTTTAGGATTAATTATTTTACAAACTTCTGATGATAAGTCTACCGGATTTCGTGATAAGGCGTCTGCGTTTACATTTGTTCTACCGGACTTATAGACTACTTCGTATTCGTATTCTGCTAATTTTAGTCTCCAGCGAAGGATTCGCATGTTCGCATCCTGAGCGTTTTTGAACCACATTAAGGGCTTGTGATCTGTTACAAGTGTGAACTTTCTTCCGTATAGATATGGTCTGAAATGTTTGACGCAATATATAATTGCTAGTGCTTCCTTTTCGTAGGTATCGTACTTTAGTTCGTTATCGCTCAGTGTACGAGATGCGTATGCTATTGGCTGATCTTTGTTAATGATTCCTTGAGATAATATTCCGCCTATTGCGTAACCTGAAGCGTCGGTAGTTAATATAAATGGTCTCGAAAAATCTGGGTACTGCAATACCGGTTCTTTACAAAGCTCATTTTTAAGAATATTAAACGACTCTTGCTGTGCGTATCCCCATTGGAATGGGGTTTCGAGTTTCAATAACTGTGTCAAAGGTCGTGCTAATTTTGAAAATTCCGGAATAAATCTTCTATAGTATCCAGCTAGTCCCAGAAATTGCTTGACGTTTTTCGACGTTTTTGGTGTTGGAAATTCGCGTACCGCTTCGAGTTTTCTCGGGTCAGGCTTAACGCCCTTACTGCTAATTACGTGTCCCAAGTAACTGACTTCCTTTTGTAAGAATTTGCATTTATCCGGCTGTAATTTTAGATTGGCTTCCTTGAGTTTTTTTATTAATTTTTCGAATTTATATTTATGTTCTTCCAAGGAGGATGCATATACGACGATATCGTCTAAGTAAACAAAAGCTTCCTGTCCTTGTATCCCTGATAAAACTATATCCATTAACCTTTGAAAGGTCGCGGGAGCATTTTTTAATCCGAAAGGCATGCGGTTAAACTCGTAATGTCCGAAAGGAGTGGTAAAAGCGGTTTTATGCCGATCGTGCGGATCCATCTTGATTTGATGAAACCCGGATGCCAAATCAAAAACAGAAAAGTATCGCGCTCCACCGAGTTGATCGAGGATGTCAATTATATTGGGTAACGGATAAGCATCTCCGATAGTCTTATTATTCAATGCTCGAAAATCCAAAACCATACGCCATCGTTTGTTGCCTTGGGAATCCTCTTTTTTAGGCACAATCCAAATAGGAGTATTATAGGGCGATTGTGAATGTCGTATAATACCACTATTTAGTAATTCCTGAACTTGTTTATTTATTTCAATCTTATGAATTTGAGGAAATCTATACTGCTTTGTGTTAATCGGATAATCGTCTGTAGTCGGTATTTGATGTTGCAGTACGTGCGTATAGGTAAGTTGTTCTCCTGGCAATTGGAAGCAGTCTTGATGATTTTTAATCAATATTGTTACATTATCAGTTTCTTCTGGATTTAAGTAGTCCAATTTAATCAGAGTCAATAGTTCGCCTAATCGGTTATCGTTAAAAAGGTCGATTGGATTTATCTTGGGAACGTTAGCGTTTAAAGCTGGATTCTTGGTGTTTTTATCAAGTTCGATAATAAGAGTTTTCCCGGGGTGATGTAGTCTCGTTTCCCTGTTTAAGTCAAAGGTTATGTCACAGTTTTGTCTAGGGAAACTGGTGAATGATGAATCTGAAAACGGAGCGATATGCAACTTGACATACTGATTAGGTTTAACATTTTTTATATTCTCCGGACTGTTGGGCTGTAAAAAATTATTACAGTTAGGTGAAATTTGGAGATCAACAACTGGTGCATCATTTATCCTTTCGGCAAGATTTATATTATCTTTGACATCGCGAATTTCATTCTCCTTGTCCCTTTTTATTTGATGTGTCTCATTATTCTCGTACGAGGACTTACATATTTCTTTTCGATTCTTGCTTTCCTTTTCTGTAATCTTTTCTATAGCATGTGTAAAATTCTGTTCTAGATGGTCTAATTTATTAACTTCCTTTAAGAATTCAGGGGACCTTTCAATGTTTCTACTTTTTTCTGTCAATTTCTGTTTTATTGATTCAATAGGAGTTTGCAAATTTTCTCCTTGTTTTATATTCGCGTTTTCTTTATAGAATAAATGGGGTAACTGGAAATCGACCCCTTGGTTAGAACTTCTCAAATCAGGATGAGGAGGTTGGAAACTTTCCTCTGAATTTCCAATTAACTTTTTACAATATTTCTGTGAATCATTATTTGGATTTCTTGACATTGAATCTTTACATA